ATGTGCTTCTCTTTGAAAGGCAAAAAATAAAGCTTCCACTTCCATCCATAAAATCTCCTGGGGTAAGCTTATTGGAAAACCCAGCAGCCTCAGAAGTTCTACGTACAAAAATAAGATCCACACGTTCACAACAAATAAAGATCCGCACACTCAGCAAATGGCTAAGTATCATCCTAATGTCTACGTTGAAATAAACGCACTCTCTGAATAATGCTTTGGACAAACGTCCACGACGCTTTATATGATCAAAGTGTTCTAAAAGGCATGAAAAGCTACTTGCCATTACACAGCCAAACAGACAAGACCTCCATGAACAGGAATAGCAGCGACACCCTCTCCAAAGAGATTTGGCTCAAAGCACCCAAATCAGGTCACTGGCCAGCCATGCAGACATCGTTAGAAGAATCATATATTGACATAAGCATAATCACCTTTTTAAAAAATCATCAGATATTACTTCTCTGTTAAAAATGGCATTGCCCACCAATCCTTTTAGTCATGCCTCCCCTTGGAGGATTTCTAAGAGAGAAGGATGTAAGGCCTGGGGAACAGAAGAAGAAGTTCAGAGTCTGACGGACTAGGTTCTGCCAAGCAGGTAGCTAAGTGCCCCTGATTCAACCCACCAACCTCCCTGAGCATCAGCTCCTTCGTCCCCAAAACAATGCAACTTCATTGGGAGACTTGAAGGAGTCCTGTAGTTCTCGGATCAGTGGTCCATGACGCTGCGCATAACCTGGCCCCTGCCTGCCTCCAACCATGTGCCTCGGCTCACCTTCCCACGTTGACTGCCATCTGGCACCCTGGGCTGCTGACAGTCCCTCAACACCCAAATTGTTCCCATCCCAGGGCTCTGCCTGCTCCACCCATTCACTCCTATCTGATTGGAGGCTCTTCCTCCTGTGAGTTCTGTAAGGGCAAGGGTCACGTCTCCTCCATTCATTTTTGTATCCCCCATGCCTAGCACACAGCTGAATACGCAGGTAAATATTTGAGGAATGAATAACTGATTAAATGAAATACTATATGAAACCAATGACATCCGGGAGTAAATGAAAACTCTCTCTTTTAGTTAGTATTAATGACTTTCACTGATACTCGGGGAAGAAAAGCTTGTCTCATAATTTCGAGAAGATGCAGAGAGTTTTAAGGACACTGGTCTCTTGGCACTGTATTCATCCGTTCTTCCATGTTTCCCACCCAACTCATTTTTGGGTTGTTTCTCTGACATAATCACGGAGTTTACTCCTCGCAGGCAGCAGAACAGAGCCAAGGTGCTGTGGAGGCTGAGCTGGCTCCTAACTTGTCTCAGGAAGTGTTAACGGACCTACCACATACATCCTTGCTCAGGGGCCTGCTGTCACAGAGGCTGATACTGCATGAAACGGGAAACACCACTGGCTCACTTGTCACCAGGCAGAGCTCATCAGTGGTGGCAACAGAAGCCTGCCCGGACTGGTGAAGCTGCGGCTCTCGGCATCCAACTGTCACCTTCACGAGATTATCCGTCCTGGCCATGCCAGACCTAACGCTACTGAGGATATGAAACCACCTTCATTTTAGCCATTAAACTGAAGTGAGAAAGCTGGAACGAGCGGGTCAGAAATGAGCAGGTTACTCATTTCTTCACTCCATTTACATTCGCCAGAAGACTCCAGGAGGATGAAGCTCATTTGAAACACCTTCTCTTCCAACAGTGGTTCAATCTCTAGGGGAAGGGATCAGCAGGAAAAACTATTTCTAGTATAATGGCATTAACTGGATATTTATAGTATTGGCCTTAACCATACAGAGTGGGGGTTGCAGTCTGAATTTGAGAAATGTGAATCATCTGGTCTTAGATGGCAGTTTTCAGGATGATGGAGAAGTTCAAACTTCCTAAGACAGTAAATATTTCACAACGTCCCTTCCAAGTACATGGAGTTATTTTTTGGAATTATCATTTTAGTTATGATATTAAAAAAAGACGTAACAGATTTGGATAACATGTTTGAAAAAGTTAGACATAATCAAGCACCACGTTTTAATATGCTGATGGGCTTTTGTCAATATTTGCTGTATATGGTATTTTTATAGTAGTCTGAATTATTAAGTGAAATATATAAACACAAGAACTATACACAAACTTAAGATAAACATTTGCTTTTTTATTCCTTTATTTTGCATCCATCCCTTTGTCTCTATCTCTACGTATTTATCAACCTCATGGACATATAATATACTATTCAGATAGACCATAACTTTTTGAAAACCAGAAGCATTCATCTACCACACAGAAACTTCCTTTAATAAAGAGAGTGATTGGAATTCTAATTACTCATTAAAGAGCTCTTACATTTATTCATTCAAGAAATATTTGTCGAGTGGCGTCAAGGTGACCAGGCACAGATGTTGTGGGGTGGGTGTGCAGCCATGAACAAGACCCACACAGCCCTCAACCTTCTGGCACTGCGTTCTAGTGGAGAGAAACACAGACAACTACTAGATGAGCAAGACAATACGGGAATTTCAAATAGTGGTCAATGCTATCCTCAGCCTCTCGGACAACCACGCTTGAACTGGGACACGAATGTGAAGGAGACGCTACAGCACTTTTTAGAAAACTGAACGTGCGTCGTTAAACACTGAATAACACCTGTGGAAACGTAACTGACATCATTACTACATGCACTGCCCATACCGGAAGCAGACGAGGTATTAGAAAACATGAGTGTGGAAGCCAGTGTTTGGGGTAAATTAAAAAGCAAGGGATTGGAGTGCTGGCGCTGATGCCCACCAGGCACGACCTTCACCAGCTTCCTCTAGCAGAGACTCCCTGTGCTGATGCATAAAACAAGAATAACACTATGCGTTCCAAAATCGCTGTGAGATGAAAACATGAGTTGCTTCACACCTGCCGTGTTCCTTGACACACAGTAGGGCTTAAACGCATCCGAAGTCCAGATCCGCTCTTGTGGCCTTTACTCCTGAGAAAGTCAGCTCCCCTTTTTAGAGTTCTTCATGCTTCTTCCCTTTCCCTGTCATCCACTGGTCGCACCACTTACTGGTTATCCCTCAAGTCAGTTTCTAGATTTCACAAAGTGAAACTTAGAACAGGGAAAGCAAAGCACTAACATTGCTGACACTGAAGATCCACGCCAGTTTTAACACAATGTGCCCCTTTTCCAATACAGTCGGTGTTGTGTCTATAGTTTACAAATGTGAAGACTGAACTCTGGGGAGCCGACAGGTAAGTAAGGCTGGCACAGCCAGTGCAAAGCTGGAATCCGACTACAGACATGCCTGGCTCCAAAGCCTACATTTGTGACCACAGTGGCTAATCCTGAAAATACCCAGGCCCCTTCTCTCCGCACCGACTGCTAGCATGTAAGCAGGGTTATTCGCATTGCTCCAGGTTTCCACACTTTACTGACCATATTAAATGAAGAAAGAAATGCAGCAGAAAATGACATCATATCAAAATGGGGATTTATGATATTTAAACACTAACTTGCCCGCCAAAAGCATTGCTGATAATGGCCCAAGAAAAGAATTAAGACTGTAATTGAGAACGTCATGAAAAAAACAAAGGTGTTCATCATTTCTAGTAAACATGGTGTGTTACTATTGCTAATACTTTTTTTGCTGGACTGTTGGGGTGTCCACAATATGTATATCTGTCATAGAAGACCCATCAATTAACAACTAGAGCTATTGTCTAGTTATAGAAACACACCAATAAACAAATCCTCACTTATTCAAAGCAAGGCTAGTGAAAATAGCCTTTAAGATGTACTTTTCAAGAAAGGAATTATCCATGGTTTGCAAAACTATAGTTCAAAAAGACTGCAATGAGGGGCTGGCCCGGTGGCCGAGTGGTTAAGTTCGCGTGCTCCACTGCAGGCGGCCCAGTGTTTCGTCAGTTCGAATCCTGGGCGCGGACACGGCACTGCTCATCAAACCATGCTGAGGCAGCGTCCCACATGCCACAACTAGAAGGACCCACAACGAAGAATATACAACTATGTACTGGGGGCCTTTGGGGAGAAAACGGAAAAAAATAAAATCTTTAAAAAAAAAAGACTGCAATGAACTGAATTCTTAAATTATTGGTGAAAAACTTGGGGGAAATGAAACCTAAAGTTTATCCCCAGAGTCGCTTAATTAATTAGAGTATTATCTAATTCTGTGTCTAAAATAACCATTTGTTAACTAGCATGGTTCAAAACAATAAGCTGATAAAAGCAGTGTAAACACACCTAAAATTCATAAACTGGCTTACTTTTATTCCCAACTTATTGACATCAGCCCAAGTTTGATCATTGGCAATGAGAAATATTTTATGTTCAGCATGTTTACAGAAATTTGTGTTTGCACCTTCACATGCAAGTACAGACATAACGCACTTCACCAAAGGCAGTGTCAAAATGCTCCCACTGGACAGCAAAGGAGGATGGTCAGAATAGAGAGCTTTCAAACTAAGCTAAACACATTTAACGGGAAAACAAGGAAATCTTCTTTTGCCAGAGTTCCTCTGAATGCCATCCACATTTATTTTCCGTTAGATTAAAAACCCTGATGTCACCTTTTTCTTTCTTCCTCCCAATGTACGCCTTTCCCCCAGTAGTAACAATTGTGAATCATGCCTTGCCTGGTCTTTTGATTTCTGCTCCTGTTCTCGCACGGGCCACACCACCAGGTATGAAGTCAGTTTTTCTTCTAGCGAACTATTCTTAGTAAGAGGGGCCTGGGTGAAAAGATTTTCCATACTCACCGTCTCTATGAAGTGGATTTCATCATAACTGAATAACTACTGTTTCTACATGCGGGCAACTGACGAAAAGTCTGCCCATAACTGGCTCTGGAATTCACTGTAATGATTTCTGACCTGCATCCCAGGCCAGGCCCAGTGTCACATGGTTGTAGTCTTCCTCACAGGTCGTCAGGACCGCAAACGCAGGTGCAGTGGAGTGCTGCTGACGTTTTATTAAAGAAACACACAATAAAGTCGAGAAAATACGTACCTGATTGCACTTGCAGATAAGTGACCGTAGGAGCCACTTGCTGAAGAGCTACTGCGGGAATTATTGAGAATTGTGACCAAGGAGTTGGGAGACGTCCTTATCATGGTCTGAAGGTCAAAGCTGTGATCGGACAGCGGTGAGATGGACAGTGTACGTTTCCGGCTCGGCCTGGCTGACAGCCGGGGGCTGGGGAATCGGGTGCCTGTTATATAAACAAAACGGAACCTGATTACCTGTGGTTGCACTCAGCACCTGTTATTTATTGCTTCTCGCCTGCGTGGAAGAAGCGAAGGATAAGAAGCCGGCAAATTGCGATGACAAGTACCTCTCCTCCCACTTATGATCTACTAGCTACAATTGAGGAAATTAGGGAGAAATATTTATCTTCCAGGGGCTTACCTCGGGGGAGCTCTGTTTATTAATGTGCAGGCAAAATGATAAATTGCTAAACAAAAGGGAAAGACTTTTATGTGTTATCCCTCTCATTTCTAGTGATTTATGAATCTGACGGCTGCTTAGATATTCCCATCATTAATTCACCACAAGCGACAAAGACAGTAGTTCCCACAGTTGCACCACACACCGCCCTCCCCACCCCAACACGCACCATTTTAAGGCAATGAGCCGAAGGGAAAAATGAATTAAAGCATCCTAAGATAAAAAAACTCAGCTTGGTTATGCCCTCATTTCCCCATGATTTCTGTAGTTATCTGATCCACGGTATACTTAAAGCTCTAGTGAAACTACCGATAAATACATTATCCTAAATTAATGGTTCTCAATCGGGGGCAATTTTGCCCCCAGGGGACATGTGACAACATCTGGAGACACTTTGGTTATCACAACTCATGGAGTGCTGTTCACATCTAGTGGGTAGAGGCCAGGGATGCTGCTGAACACCCTGTGATGTGCAGAGCAGCCCCCCACGATGAAAAATGATCTGGTCCCAATAGTGCCGAGATTGAGGAACTATGCCCCGGATTCCCCATCATCTGACAGCGTAAGTCCCAAGAAACATTTAAAATTTTGGGACGTGTTTGTTTACAGATTTTTCAAGGTGGGGGCGGGGGAACGCCCTGCATTGTAATGAGGTTTGAGGAGTCTATTTTAATTCTCTGGACTTGTTAGATTAATTAATTAATTAATTAATTCTCTGCGTTTATGAGAATTTTTAGCCTTCAAGAAGATTCCAGCAATGAAGTTCTAATCTGAAGGTTAGTAACTCACTCTTAAACGCGTGCCAACTTAATACAAGGCTTTTCACCTAGAGAGTTAAAAATTAAAAGCCCATTTGCCTTCAATTTGGTAGGTTTTAGAGATCTGAATTTCAGGGCATAGCTACTATGCACGTGGCCCACAGGCCCAGTCCTTTTCTAAGGTCATTTACCTTACAGAGCCATCAAACTAAGATTTGATAGAAGAATGAGAACACAATCCCACTAGGTAAGAGACAAATAAAATTTGCTTATTTTTAAGTAATACTGGAAGGTTTCTATTTCACCGTATGAGGACACCTGCTTACAAAGACATGGCAATTTTGTGGTACCCAGAAAACTGAAGTAGGAATTAAGCCTTCTTTATAGAAAAAAGGTCTGGGCACTTGGGCTCCAGAAAATTCACTGGGAATATTTGCTTCATCAGAGATAGATCACGACACAAGGTAACAACCCAACATGCTTTGAGGTAATTTAATGAAATGGAATCGATGAATATGGAAAGACTCTATAGATAATATTACACAAATAAACAGATAAACTTTTTGGTTAATAAGAAACAAATCACAAACTGGAAATTGGTAAGTTAGTACCATCCATGTTTAAAACTGAAAAACCAATTTGAATGATGAAGGTGGTACCTACCCCAAGGTAGGTATTCTTTCGGGCACATTTAAAATCTAGTCCCTTCATTTAGAATCCTATCATTACCAGCCTGATTTAGGGAATGTTAGTATAAAAACAGCAATCTCAACCATGTAACATCTTTTAGTGTTTAAATCAGAATCTTCCTTTAATTATAGCATCTGCCTTAAACATAAATGTTTCACATTTACTCATTACACAAAATGAAGCTAACTTCATCACACAGTATTTCAATGAAGAAATACATTCTACTTCCAAAAGATTCTAAGGACAAACCAGACATATGATCGACTTCCACATGATCCTCGACAATAACCTTCTCCATGAGACTCAGTGATCACTGGCAGAGTTAGAAGTAACAGGACATTCTAGACAGAGCTGAATCTCTGGGATGTCTCGAATTTTTTGAACCACTAACCAGATAAGAAGGCCTTCTGACGCTGACATAGAAGCCTATACCCGCCTCACATCATTCAAAGACAGAACCCGGGGGCCTCGCCTCATCCCTTCCATGGAACCCTTCAGGTTGCACACAGCCTGGTTGGTCCAGCTCCTCTGTTTTTCTCTCCAAGATAGGCATTTATTTAAGTCAGTTTCCACCAACAAAAATAGTATGGTTTTCAAGAGCCCTCATCTCTAGGATATTCCTCATAGAGATGACTTGCTCTCCTGTTTTTTAAGGTCATTTGAATCCCGAAAGGTAGAATTAGAGCCAGAAAACAGAGTTGTTCATTCTGATGCGCAACACGTCATACTACACCTGCTGAAACCCAGGTATGCCCAATGTTGGCACATTTTAAAGTCAGCTACTCGTCTGAAACCAGTTTATTGTGGTTTCCGCCAACTGCAGAGTCCGAAAGATCTACAACTGTGGGTCAGAGGGGCCAACTCAATCCCAGGTCGGCTCTGCTCCTGCAGATGGGCATCCAACGAAGGAATTTAAAACTATTTCGCTTCTCCATTGGAAAAGTTTCCTCTGATTTAAATTCTGGGCTCTCTTCCTAGGTTCTGTCTAACTGAATGCTCTCCATTATTTTAGAGGGAAGGAGGGCAGCTCTTGAAGCACTTTTCAACCTTGAATATGGTCCTCCCAACCCCTGAATCACTGAACAAAGAGAAAGTCAGCATTTGGGGACAGCGACCGGGGATGCTCTTGAAGAGACCTGCCAAAACACAAAGTGAGCATTTTCAAAACTGCTGAGAGAGAAGTGGGCCAGTTCTTCACTGATCAGACCGCTTTCCGCTTAGATCTAAGCCCAGGCATTCTTACTGTTCAACACAGATATCTCCGATCTGGCTTACCGTTAATTGTTTTGTTTCTCTATTCTAATAAAAAATTCTGACAAAGAAAAAGGAGGTTTACTTTTATGTGATGAATGATAGGACATCTAAATTCCTACTTAATGACAATCAATTTACCATATACTCAGGCAAATTAAAATTCCTTTAATTAGTTTTTACAAAGTAAAAGGGTAGCTTCATCCTTTATTTAGATAAAACCCGCCATTGCCTGACTAAACACATTCTCATCAAATAGAGAAGGTAATATGGCTTGACCTTCCAAGGATTCTCTCTTATTTTAATTCCTTATTTGCAGATTTTAAATAACTAATTTGCATAATAACACTGAACTCTTTTTTTCCCAACAATCCCTAATTGAAATGTGGTTATGAAGAATCTGAAATGTAAGCTCTCTACTCTACAAAGCAGAACAACAAAGCCTTGCCGAAGATGGAAGACGTTTCCTTCACTTTGTGTGTGGTAATGAACCCGCAGCGGACACCAGGGCAAGCTGAAGTTCCCACGTAACGGAGCTCAGTTAGTCCACGACAGGAAGGAGACTAAAGCCGTGGATCTTATCCTGTGTGGTCCAGTCACCTCCTCTCTATTCCAAACCTGAGGACTGAATTACAAACCAGTGCTAGAGAGTTGACCAACGCACCCCCTTCATCATGGAGAACCTATGCAGGCTGTAGACGGAAAAGCACAAGTTAACCACCGCGACTAAGAAAAGAAACAAGCAAAACCTCGAGCACAGTCTCTACTCCAAGTCATATTGCTGCCATATTCAAAGCGGGGGGGGGCGGGGGGTCTCATGGATACAGACCTTGGAGGATGCTTCAGGTTCACTTCCTGGCACCTGACAAATGGATGTGGGCTTAAAGAATCTGAGTAAATGAGAACTGTTGGATGTTCTGAAAAGGGATGCTCGTAGGCTCATTTGTCTATACATCTAGATAAGTGACCCAAAGAAACCATCAGAAGCCTCGAGACACCTAAAAATAAGTAATATAAAATGCAGCAAATGATCCCATTTTCTTCCCCTGCTATGTACTGAAAGTAGCCCTTTCTGCTTTGGAAATGGTTTTCATTTTTCCTATATAAAAGGTCTCGGGGAAATATCATTTTTAATGTAAAGAAAACATAGGAGGCAAAATAAATCAATGAAAAAAAATGTAAAACCAAGTCCAGATGTCTTTTTTTTAATTAATTTTAAAGCATAAAATATACGAAACCAAAGAATGACTGGGCAAAGTACATTCCTGTAATCAAACACGCTTCCTTATTTTGTTATCAAGACAATCAGGGCAGGGTACTTTTTGTATGTCTGCCAAATTACAATCACCTGCATCTTCCGGTTCGTTGGTATCCCTCAGCTAAACAGGGAGTCCCAGGATGGCTGAATCTGTGGAAGCTTCCAAGAGACCAAGGGAACCAGAGCACCAAATCTCAGTGGTTCCTCCTCCTCCTCTGACTTGAAACGTTACACAATCACCTAATCTTTGTATCTCTCTCTCCATTTCATGAGTTAGCATTGGCCACCCCCAGGACTACGGATGACAGCTCCATCACTTACTATCCATGGCATGAAGATATTCCATGTGGATGGCCCCAGCGCCGGCGGTGGCAGCTGAGGGAATGATGTCTGCATAGGGGCTGCGCTGGCCGGCTAAGAGAGCCATCTGATGGTAGTATTCCGCTGGGCTGACTCCAGCGTGCGGGGCTAGAAGAGGAGACAAGAGAAGCACAGTTACTTGTCACAAGAAGGTCAACAAGAAGCTTTCCTTGAGACATCTCAAAGTCCGTTTATCGCCCAGCCCACATCAGCAATTCCTTTTATGGCTCATTCTAGTAAAACTTCTTTAACTCAAATTGTGCTTTCACTCAAGTCTACTACATCTATCTTTTATTTGAAAATAAAACTCAAGGAAAAGGATAGAAAACAATGAAATACATTCTAAAATGTTTGAGGTTAGTTCAAAGAAATCATCAAGAATTCAAAATAATTAAAATGTACATATGTACAGAACTCATTCCCATGTTTGCCTCCCAAAATAAAATAGTTTCTTATATCAAATCACGGTATGTTCACATTTTCTATAGTAGTCAACAACTTAGTAGACAGCTACGCTATCTTTCTGCACGTATTTAAAATACTTCCCAAAGCTTCCCGACAGGAGTGTCTGAGTCAGCTCTCACTACCTGGAGGACCCAAGGCTTACAAGTGGAAAAGATAGCACAGCTTTAATAACACACGACTGGGTGATAAGCTGCAATTTTATGTTCCATAATTTAAAAGCTCTTTTTTTCCATTACAAAATCAAAAGGAAAACATACCTATCAATCTGGAGCAATTTACCGGCAAGCGTCAGCTCTATAAGAGTGGGATAATAATTGGTTTCCACCTGCCAATTTATGTGCAAAAGCAGCAAGATACTGCAGGAGATCCTGAGGGTGGTCTCCAGATTCACAGAGATGGGATGCAAACCCCAGCCTCACCTCTCAGGGCTCCCAAGGTTGTTGGGAGCAATAAATACAAGGATGCGAGGAAAGTGCTTAGCACAGCGCATTGCATCAATAAAAGTTAGTTTTGCAATTATTAGGTAGAAGCGCTGGCATTCTAAGACAGGTTTGTGTTTTACATTTGTGCTCATATACTTTTTATACATGATGAAGGTAGAGACATATATTTAAAAATCTTAGACTACAAAAGAGAAATATTGGTGACTCGACTTTGGATATCAATTGGACTCTTGAAAGGCAGGCAGAGGAAGGCAGAACAACCAATCAAAGAATGTTTTAATTCATACTCATCATCAAACACTATAGAAAGTAGATGATACAATGCTTTAACCAGAGGTACCACTTTCCACTGGCCCCACTACATTTCCATGAGCCAGGCATAATTCCAAGTCCATTCTTAGCTGGCCTCCCTGATTCCTCTCTCCCTCTGTTCTCCTGGTTAGTCATTTCCATGAATCCCCAAGTACTCCAGGGAGGTGACTCTCCATTTTTCCCATTGAAAAACCAAATCCCAAGCAGAAGAACTAACCCAGATTTGATTCTCTCATAGTTTTATTTTTGAAACGTGAATCTTACAAACTTCCAGTCATAAAATAAGTAAGTACTGGGGAATGCAATGTACAACTTGATGACTATAGTTAATACTGACGTATGCTATATTTGAAAACTGCTAAGAGGGTAAGTCCTAAAAGTTCTCATCACAGGCAAAAAAAAATGTTTTTCTTTTTTCTTTTTGTATCTATACGAGATGATAGATAACTATACTTATTGTGGCAATCATTCCACAATATATGTAAGTCAAGGCATTATGTTATACACCTCAAACTTATACAGCGCTCTATATGTTATATGTTAATAAAACTGAAAGAGAAAAATGTGAATCTTGTCCAAATGGCAAAACTTGTTCTTTAAGGACTTTAAAGCATATTGACTGCATTGAGTCAGAAGAAGATGAGCAGGCAGTTGTTCTTGGAGCACAGCTACTCTTGGATGTACAACTGAGTGGATGCATACTGAGAAATCCCACGCAGCTCCCCACCGACTATTCCACCAGCACAGCCAGCCGCGGGAAGTGGTCTGCATGGAGAATGTGGACAGTGCAGGGTCACAGCAGACACTGCTCAGTGAGACGGAGGGCACGGTGCTCCTCTGTGCTCTGAAACAAGCACCGGCGATTTGTGATCTGCTGCAGAGAACTAACTCAGAACCCACTCTTTGCAATTAATATGGTTTATGCAATTCTGGACCTTCATTCAGATTCCAGCAACTGTGCGCAAGCGAGTTTGCATATGTGTGCATGCGATGGGAAATGTTCTCCCCGAATCAAGGGAACAGTTTATAACCTAACAGTCGCAGAATACACAGCTCCAATTAAAGAGTCATGTGAAAGTAATGAATTGTGAGGCTAATAGAACCAACCGGAATTTGATCCTCGAGAGCCTAAAATGAGCATTAAGTATTATAGAATTAAAGTCAAAGTTTGTTTCTTTTCCCATACACCCCTCTTCCAGTTTTCAGCTGGCACAATCAAGGACAGGGGGCATATACAAAGGGCTGGACCATCATGGTCTCTAAGACCTTGCTACTCAGAGCATGGTCCATGGACCAGCCGCACTCACATCACTTGGAAGTTTTTCTGAAGTGCAGAATCTGAGGCCTCACCCGGACCCACCGCACACGGAATCGCATCACCATTATCCCTGGGTGATCCATATGCACACCGGAGGTTGAGAAGCTCTACTCTAATAGACACATCTATATAAATGTGCCTCTCAGACATGCAGGACAGAAAAGCGTTCATCAGATGCTGAGCAAAACATACAGGATACACAAGCATACTTGGGGAATGGCTACATGGCCAGTCCAAGCACGCATGGAGCCGCAGAAGAGCAAGGATTCTGGAGTCAATGAGACCTGGCTTTGAGTTCCACCTCTGCTGCTCACTAGCCAATGGACCAGGCTGCCAGTTACCCGGCCCCTCTGCAAACTGCTATCCTCACCTGAAAATGGCGATAATAACCCCACCCTCATGGGGGTGCTGGAACGCTGCACTGAAAGCATGCACTTAATGCACTTTAGCACCTGGCACATGGGAAATGCTCAATAAACATCGGAGGTCCTCTATACCGCGTCCCAGGGGAGGCATGGGTGGAGGGGGCTGGACGTGTGGCAGCAGAACCCGTTGCTCTGAGACTTACCATCTGTGGGGCTCAGCCCCCGGGCTGCCGAGATCATGGACAGGGACGGGCTGTGCAGGGACCGGATGTAGTCCATGTAGGGGTTGATGTAGGAATGTGGAGGGCTGAAGGGGGACTCCGACGCTGCGGCGGGGTTCCGGTGCGGGGAGATCCTAATGAAGGGCAGGTCCGAATACGTTGGGCTACTAGATAAGGCAGAAGGCCTAGGAAAAAAGAAAACCAGACACTAGAGGAATGCATGAGACCAATATGTCCACGGGCGGAGGCTGGCTGTGAAAGAAAATACGTTAACACTTCAAGGGAACTCAAGGTGTCTTGGGGGAAATGATACGAGGCATATATATTTCCACTACTATTAGCTTAAAATCATGGTGATAGAATGCAGGGAACGCTACTATACAATTATTTGGGCAAAGAAAATTGACCTTTGAGAAATTTCATGGTACCCTGAATTTTGGAAAATAAAGGTCAGTCTTTGGCTTTCGTCATGAGAAGAAATTCTGAACAACAGGCAAACGAGCTTTAAGTAGTTGCTGCGATTCTATTTGACCAGAACATTAATGTCACCCTTGAAAACTTACCTCTCACCATCATGGTGTTGCATTAAGAAAAAAGAAAGAAAGAACGCGAATTGATGTGGTCTGGAAGTCTGAGCATGCGCATGGCAGAGCTGGCCACAGAAAAGAAAAGAGCCGATGCAGAAGTCTGTAAGAAACGTGAAATCAGACCTTCTGTATCTCAATGCTTGGGCTTGACTGCCGAGGGTGTTGGAGCTGTGAGTGAAACCAGTTCCACGGACCTGGGCTGCACTGTTTGGAAGATCCTCCTCCCCAGGAGGCGGCTGTCTCCTACACTCATTTTCCCTGTGGCATCCTGATTAGCCGTGTTCAGTGAACAATCAGTAATTAAGTATTCCTGGGACTAGAAAGTTGGAGAAGAATGGGCTTTGATCAAGCTCACGCCTCGGCTATAATGAGCTAAGGTAGAACGTAAGCTTTTGGGCTGATGAAAATCAATTCTGGAACACACCTTGCTGCACTGTGCCCGGATCCGCTCCTGGGAACTCTTCCCCAGAGCGACTGAAGCCCCCGGGGACAGGCATTCTACAATGGTCAGCCTGCGCAGCCTCCCTTGCCACCTTGTTCCTTCTCTAATAGAAGAGGTTTTGTGTGGATAATCCAGTGAACTGGCTACGACAGGCTAAACCCTTGTGCTCTCCGCTTCCTCATTCACAGAGGACATGGCCATAAAAAGGAGAGGCCGCGACAGAGATGGATCTACCGGGGACGGCAAAGTCCTCTTATGCCACTGGCTTTAGGAGTGAAATGAAAGGGAGGAGAAACACATTTTCTCTGCACGCCTCCTGAAGCAAAGGCACACGGCCGGCCGGTCTGGCCCGTCCCCACATTAGAGTGTGATCTTGGCAGAAGCCAGTGCCACCAAGTGCACAGCGCAGCCGCCGAAACAAACGAGGGCAGAGATGAGAGAATGAATTTGCTCTCGGGAGAAAATAAAAGGGTGAATCGTAGGGGGAGAGGATTTTCTCGCTTGCTCCTTCTTAGTATTTTTTATTTGGAACTAAAAAAAAAAATGAGGCATTTGATTTGTTATTCAGATGCCTCTTTTGGTGAAGAGAAATAAAAATCCTGAGTTTTCTAAATTTACATGTGGGCAGAGTGAGAACTCACCACCTGAAAATAGCCGGTTCTTTTCAAACTTGAAGCTTTCCATACACACTCAGAAACTAGTAAAATTACTTAGAATGTACTCAATAGAAATCAGCATAATCTATTAGTCTATCCAATTTTAGCTCGCTACTACAAAACAAGTTACCTCTGTGTCACCAGTCAAAACCTAAGCTCCATTTGGACATGCTGCTACTTTAGAGCACAGGGGAAGTTCAAATTCATTAATCCATTTTCTACCTGAAAGGAAAATCAATCCTTCTGATGTGTTCAAAAGTAATTATTACAGGGGCCAGCCCCATGGCCAAGTGGTTAAGTTCGCGTGCTCTGCTTTATTGGCCCAGGGTTTTGCCAATTCAAATCGTGGGCATGGACATGGCTCATCAGGCCATGCTGAGGCGGCGTCCCACATACCACAACTAGAAGGACCCACAGCTAAAAATACACAACTATGTACCAGGGGGCTTTGGGAGAAAAAGGAAAAATAAAAAAATCTTAAAAAAAAGTAATTATTAAAAAATATATTTTACATTTTTGTAGATTTATGATGAGAGACTGGCGCAGCAGAAATGTAGAAAAGTAGACAGTTCAAGAAATCCAGCAGATGACACCCCCTAGAAAAGCTTTGGTGACTCACAAGAATCTCGATCTGAACAATATAAACTAAAAATCAGTGAAGGCAATGGCTTTTCTTACTTGTTTTTTCAATTTAGACAAAGATTGGAATCTTATTTTTCTAAAACTCTAGAATTGAGAAGGGTTGTAAGAATATTCCTAGAGGCTTAGATTCTATTTTGAAGAATCATGCAGGGGAAAAAAAATCAGCATTTGGAACACGAAAATTACAGAGGTCAGGCTGGGGCAGTCACCAGCCCCAAAGAAGCAAGGAGGCCAGAGACAGCCGACGGTTTTCTCTTTTCACCAAAGTCTGTGGACATCTGACGCCCACACCCTGGTCTTCACTTTCATTTGACCCATTCCCACAAGAAGACTGAAGACAACTATTAAAAGAGCTGCGATGAGAAGAAATCAAGACCTGGACACATCTTCCCTGGCAGGAATCCAGAGCTCCACTCTCCCTTTGCAAACCACTAAGAAACAACATCAGAGAAGAGGGCTGGCTCCTCCTGCAGAGGAAGTCAGGAAACTTCACCCACTATGGTGAACGTCATATCCACGCAGGTCCCTTCCAGAGAGATGATGCTGAAGAGATAGGGGGTCACCTGTTTCCGAACAAGGTGGTGGATCATGCCAATAAGAATGCAAATAGGAAATGCAAATCAGAAAGCTGTAAGTTAATCAATTGCCCTAAAGAAACAAGGCGTCTAGTAGTCGATCCCAGGATAGGAATAGGAAATGTTTAATAGGTTCACTCAATGAGGGGTCACCAGGAATTCTGGAGACAGGTGAGTCAGACCACCAGAGCAGTGACACTATGGAAGGGCTCGGGTGCTGAAGGGAACCAATGGGGATGGCTGTGTGACCTTGGCTGCAATACACACCCTCTTCTGGTCCTTAACAGTACTATGGGGAAGAACCTACCTCACGGGGGTCTTGGCAAGTGGATATAAGTAAAGTCTCATATACTGAGCCTGGCATCTAATAAATGGTGAATACATGCATACATACATATATACGTATATAAATCACATACTATACTAATAGATTGCACGTCTAATATATACACATATACAATACAGACACATATGTACATATGCACATATATCCTCATACATACACATACACAGAAACATACACACACATATTAGGGATGGCAGATACAAGATACTGTGAGATTTTCAAACACTGAAATGTTGGAACCCTCTTTTCAAAGCAATTCTTATGGTGAAAACATACCTGTCTGCTTTGTTCCTCAACCTGACAATGCCCCGGAAGCACCTCCTTGGATTTTCAAGCAAAATCATAAAACCACATGAGCTCGGGGCTGGCCCCGTGGCCGAGTGGTTAAGTTCGCGCGCTCTGCTGCAGGTGGCCCAGAGTTTCGTTAGTTCGAATCCTGGGCGCGGACATGGCACTGCTCATCAGACCACGCTGAGGCAGCGTCCCACATGCCACAACTAGAAGAACCCACAACGAAGAATACACAACTATGTACCGGGGGGCTTTGGGGAGAAAAAGGAAAAAATAAAATCTTTAAAAAAAAAAAACCACATGAGCTGGTTAAGAACATAAACGCAGGAATTAAATACAGGAGTTTTGAAGGAACTGGATTTGAATTCAGGCTAGCTGTCACTGACCGTCCCTCAAGCGTAAGTTCCCTTGTACATAAAATGGGATAGTAGCCACTCCCCCACCGCTGGGCTGCTATGGCTGACCCACACTGGGCACTCAGGAAATGGTGGTGGTCGTTGATGTTCTTGTCAGAACCATCCAACAAAACTTGTTTTTGTGTGAGATTCTCAACTCAGCACACACATAGCCAAATGGCAAGACTTTTGGAGACTGGAGTTCCAGTCTCCTCGCTGTTCCAGATTCTTGGCAGCCAGATCGTTTGTTGGTTATTTTGTTTTTAATTGTAAAGCCAATCTGAGAGGGAAGATTAAACTCCTTAAATTGAATAGGCAGATGTGTGTTCACTGGTGTGTGGAAGAGCCATTCAAGATTACGAATTCTACTGAAGGTGAACTCTACTGAAGGAAGCGGAGATGGGAGGGGTGGGGAAGGCAGTCACAAAATTTTCCATTTAAATGACATATATTATTCCACAAACTATCATAAACTTGACCTGGTAAATATTTGTCAAGCTTGCTAACAATCTTCATTTGAGGATTACAGTAGTACCAGGAAAAAAAATTATAGGTGTCTCCTTCTTGGTTTATATTTTTAGGAGATACACACAGAGATTGAATTGAAGATCATGGTTGACCTCCCATGACTCTCTCTGTCTTTGTAGGTTTCCGTTCTCCCTGCGTTCAGGGGGCTGTATGTGGCTCAAGCGTTGAAAGCTGGCACAAACTGCAGAGAAAAAAACCAAAATGACAAACAAACAAACATTCCGGGAAGAACAGTGTAACTGAGAATTGCCCAAGAACAGAGATTCCACGCTATTTATGCTGTAGCCAAAGAGGAGAGAAATATGCCTGTGACGCTCGAAGCTAAATCATATGGACTGTTGTCTGGGAACCAGAGATGTCCAAACTGTAGAGGGTTGTCTGGGCTGCCAGGGCACAAGAGAGGCAAGGAGCGGTTGCTCCATTTCCTCTGCATCTTGGCTCAAGCGTGCGAGGCCCAGCACGCCCACTGAAGGATAACATCCTCTCCATTGCTTCCACCCATTTGTCTTTCCAAGGCCAAGAAGACCTACCGAGTGGCTGTCATTTTGTTTCATATTGCCCAACGGATAAATGAAGTACTGCTTCAGACAAGAAAGAAGGTGGGGATTATTTTGATGTTCTCCCAAAAGACAATAAAGCAATATAAAATTGTGTTTGTTCATCTGTGGAGATAATTTGACTGCAGATGAATGTCTTTATAAGGTCATGAAAACAGATTACCAT